CAGCCTGTAATGCAACAGGTATCATATTTTTTTTATCAGCTAATTTCTTTAAGATTAATTAATTTACTAGTGATTGTAAGTGTTCCAACAGTTTGCTTCTACATACAAAACCATTCCCATAGATGGATGGAAGGTCTTCTCAGAAGGCTTTTCAGAAGCTTCATGATACCTTTACTGAATATACATATAAGTATATAATACCCACAGTGGGTTATGATGGCTTAGTGATCCATGTAGAGCTCTGGTACTCCCATGCAAGAACATTGAGTTCTCTCAGCCAGAGCTATCATGGCCGTCTGTTCACTGTGACATGGAGGATGGGCATATGAAAAGAAGCAGAATTTGCACCCAGTTGGAAGCTAAAGAAGTTTATAGCCAGTTTTACACTTCACTTATCTTAGTATTTTCTGAGATTTTAAGAATTTACCAGTCTGTGTGTGAGTCTGATTCTTAGCATACTGTTTTTACTGGAGAGTGGTAGGATGTCCTCAATACATAGACTTACAGCTGTCTGCTACAATACCAGAAACAAAGGAATCAGCAGTTAGATTTTGATCTCATAAATTCATTTTATTTATTTTATTTAATGATGGATAAGACCTAACAGAGGTGAGGACGTTGCCACATTTTCAGATTTTCCACTTCCGCCTCTTAATTATTTTATTGATACATGCACAGCTGTGTAAATAGACCTCACTTACAAAGTTGGTGAGAAAACACTTCATGGGAATCTGCAGAATGCTCAGCTGTAAACCTCTTTTATAATGACAACAAAAACAGTATGAAAGGAATTGCCAAAAATGTTTTGAGGCCAAGAATGATTCTATTGTCATGATATGACAATAATACGTGCCTGTAGATAAACAAACTTCATGGTGATAAAACATATATCTAAGAAACATTCTTAATTTGAAAAATATTATGTAATAAATAGCTAAGGAAATTTTCTTTTTAAATTGTTGTCTATATCTATGAAGCAGGGAGACTGACAGTTCTGTCAATTATGTCCAATATAGAGTTTAATACAGGTTCCTATGACATTCATGCTATTTCCCACTGTACCGTAACTATCATCCCACTTCAAGAAACAATAACAATTCCAATTTCCAATATTTTAAACACAAATAAATTAAAGAAAACCTCAACCCCTCATGTTTACATTATTGATTTCATATGCTTCTTTATTAAATTCACTGAGAAACAAGACTGGGGTTTCCATGGAACCCATTCCCATGAAAGTTATATGCTAATCACAGAGCAATTATACATGTGAATAAAAATTAATAAACATAATCCTAAAACTACAAAAGTTCAAGTTTGTTTTGGGCTTCCTGCAGCTGCTTTACATCGCAACAAAGACAAGCATAAAAAAGAGGCCATCACGCTTTCTTCTAGTATATTTTCAATATATTATATATTTCAATATATAATATATGCTTGTGTCTAGTCTTGTATTTTTGCATGCAAGTACAGACTTGTAGGATAAGCACAAGAAGTATTAACACATGCTTTGTGTCTTCTTAAAAGCATGTAAGTACTAAATTCCAGGTGCTTTCCTCGCCACCAGACTCATCCATCAATCATATTTTTCTCTGTGAAGTGCTTTCATACCAAGATGAATGCATGATGAGGTGGAGTGGGCTTGTATAACTATTCTTTAAATTATACTCACATCTGTGCTTAAACACTCAGCAGTTTCATCTTCTGAAAGTATTACAGCACAGAGAACTGCCTCCCCCTGCCTTTATTTTTCTTCCTTCGGTACACAGAAGTGTCTCATAGACAGAATGGTTTTTAGAGAGTGTATATATCAATTATTTTATCCTTTATGGAAAGAATATCTATACATAGATCATCTTACAAGGTAGTAGAGAATGCTATTAAAGAGTGACACTAAAATGCAATGTAATTTTGTAGAGAATAATAGCTAAAAGAAATATTAAGGGAATGTGTTCCTTTTCTATATTTCTGTGTCAGTAGCTCAGAAATTTCAAAAAAAAAAAAAAAAAAAAAAAGCAAAAAAAAAAGCGCATTTTTGTATTTTTCAAAGTGATGAGAGCAAAAGTGTAGCTGTTGAAATATGGAGATCAAAACCAAAATTACAAATTTCACAGTTGTTGATACTTTGCAGATGGATGGATTTTTAATTTTTTTCATTGAATTAGTGTCAAAAGTTTATGTTGCCAAAAATGCCTGCATTCTTTTGTAACACATAATAATGGAGATGATCTGGATTTAAAAAGTGTTGTTAAAAATACTAGCTGTAGATAAAACCACGTGTTCATACATATCAGTATTTTTTCATCTTGTAACCTAACATATCTTTTTTTCCATGTTACCAAAGTTTTCACAGTTGCCATAAGGAATATGTGACAAAATGCTTTGGGATTTGGAGACACATGCCATCCACAAGACAGTCTTTGTCTGTCTACACTACAGAAGTGTTTGCAGTATAGTAGGTAGAATGTGTAAACACATCTGAGATAGATGGAAGAGATTTCAGATTGTGCTTCCATATCTGTAGAATAAATCTGCCATTATGTGTTTGGCATACCTTGTGCTATCTTACATCTGTAGCTCTAAGATTAGAAAACACACAATTATGGAGTGATTGCTCTTTTGCTAGGAAGAGAGTGGGAGATTGTCTAAAAATTGCCAAGAAGGTTCAAGGATGAAAAAATGAAATTCTTTTATACACACACAAGTACAACTTGTATTTTGTTTTAATATAAAATTCTGCTGGATTACATAAATTGGCAAATACTCGTACTGCTTTATTGGTACAAATGGCTGCTGTCTACTTTAATATACCAATAAGCACACCAATAAAGATACCAGTAAGTCTGGTATACCTATTCTCTTCTTAGATCAATGTAAACAACAGGAATACAGTACCTTGCTCTGCATATCGTGATTAAAAAAAAAAAAAAAAAAAAAAAAAAAAAGAAAAAAAAGGAAGCCTTCCCACCTACTCCTTTCTTTCAGTTATTTGCAAGGGAAGCTAAGGATGAAATATTGCATTTTCCCCAGAAATATTCTCCTGGATGTAAAAGAACAGCTGTTTCTTTAAACAGCCCATGGATATATTCTTAATAGAATCTTAAATTATGATCTTATTTTCATGAGACATCCTGTGTGCATGTGTATACATATTTAGGTATGTGCAAAATATACGAAGAAAAAGCTATCTATAAATAAAATGTGTATGTAGGAGCCATACACAGTAAATACATACCTTTTGCTCACGATGAATTTACTTATAACTGTAGTCTGATAAATGGTGATGCATTAACATTTATGGAGATTTTCATGTGGCTCTTCAGTTTAACCCTACCTCCTTCAAAATATGTGGATGATGTCAAACGTCTATGAAGCTTATTCTTCCTGTACTACCATGGCAATTTTTTTTTTTTTTTTGAGGTGTTGTCATGGATGAAAGTATTTCACATTAAGATTTTTTAATGGTATGAGGTGGAATTTTAGCAACACTTAGTGATTGATTAATTTCAAGATTGACAAGGTGTTTTTGTAGAATACAAAACATACACACAAACAGCACAGAAATATTAGGATATCCACGCTTGTGAAGGCAAATGTGTATATTCAGGCACACAGATAGGTAAAGAGTTGGATGGGAGAGACTGGTCTGTAGTTAAAATTTCCCTTTTCTCAAGTCTGGAGCAAATACTCACAATGCATATGTATTTCTCAGTGGGTGATAACTGAGAGTTGAGAAGTCTGACTTAAACCTGGCCTTTCGTCGACTTTGTGAGCAGATGATCTTTGAAATTTGAAGTTTGAGACCAAGAGGCATCCCAGCTGAGGGGAGATGCTGGTCACAGCATACTGCGATATAGGAGAGCTTAAAGGATCTCACTTAGAATTTATAGGTTCTGAGATAGTTGACTTTCATTAGGTATTTTTCCATTTCAGTCCAACTCACATGTTGGAGTATTCTGATATTTTCTATCAATTGTGCAAACTCTCAAATTGCTAAATCTTGGAGTTCTGATGTCACCCCTTTGGGCCACAATCCAAATGCAGATCTACTAGGCTGTCAGGAAGTATTGATTGTTCCTATACTTCTTAAGCAATAAGAGGGAGACGGGCAGAAACCAAGTGAGTTAAGGGAGTGCCTTAATGTTCTCATTTCATTTTGAATTGGCACGTGGTCTGTTTCCAAGTAATAGGGGAAATGATAGGAATCAAGAGTGTCAAGGGAGTGCCTGAACGTCTGGTTCAGGACCTTTCCCTATTCACCTTGGGTCGGCATGTGACCCAAGGGGGGTGGCTGGGGGTAGAAATGTATAAGTACCAACTGCCTCAAGGTGTGTTGGGGAGAGTCTCATCACCACAGGTGTCTTCTTGCTTTGTAAAAGGATAATGAAATCAACCTACTAGACTGAGAGTTCAAATTTGTGTTATTGAAGCAGAACTGGCTGAATGTGGTTGTCTGGTAGACTTAGGTGGCTGGTCTACTCACTGTAGTGACGTAAATTGTTTGGTGTATGCTAAAAAAACATGGGGGTTTATGGGACAGAAGCTTGAGAATCTAGGGAATATGGAAGCTTCAGGCAGGCAGGGACATTAAACTTCTCCACTTTATAGTTTCTAGCATTGAATATACATATAGCTATCACTCTATGTCTGGGCAACCAGAATCACAAGCTCTGTCCAGCTTTGGATGAAGGGGACCAGTTTTTTGCCCTGGTGGAGACTTCCATCACCAGCTGCATTTGTGGAGTGACCCTGAGGTCCAAGCTTTGCAGCACCAAATTGCCTGAGAGTCCAACCATAAAGCATTGTCTGCTGACCCAGTTGTGGCTCCCCTGCGAAGGGCCTGGCTACATCTCATCCCCTCCCTTCAAGCAAGGTGGCTGCTGTGAATGTTGTGTGTCCCCCCCCTCCCTTACCCCTCTCTCCCGAAGCCTTCCTTGCCCCAGGCTGGCCAAGCTCTACTCTCCTGGCCTCTCCTCCCAGGGCATGTGCTCCAGCCCCAACTGCCCTGGGGACCTCCCTCACCCCAGTTTGTCAGTGTCCAATACTTGGAGACAATAGCTGAATGTGTCCTAATGACTACTGAAGAAAGAGAACTATTGCCTTTGAGAAAACATCTGGGATAAGCATTTCATTGTAGTTATTCATCATGAAATTCCATATAACTTAAGGTTTTCTTAAAAATAACAGTATTTTCTAGGTAACAGCAATACTTTATAAATTATGTGTCATAAGATCTGTCTTTCACATTCCCTTTCCCTGACATATAGACCCTGAAGCACCGAATTAACTTCTGAAAGGGTGTTAGGCCTCTTTGAAAAGTATTATTCCATCTTATATCAGGATTAATAACATTCTCATTGAAAATATCTCAGTGCTTGAACAGGTTTATCCTGAATATTTAAATTGTGAAAATAGGCTGCTCTCTTGTTCAACTATAGACACAGCTGAGATCTTACAAAAATAGGGACTCGTATGTTTTTTTTCCACCATTTAAACAGAACAGAACACCACAGGTTTTGTTCCATGTGGAAACACAGCCATGTGTTTAGTAAAACCGCCATATGTATTTGAATGACAATTCTTTGGTTTGCTGCCAAAGACTGTGTATGTGCATAATGCTGTCCTAGAAATTAAAATCTTCCCTGTGGGTATGATGATCAAAATAAGAAGTTGCATTTCTTTTTATTTACCTTCCTCTCCTTCAATCTATTAGAAGGACAGTGATTCTGAACTGTAGTTTGTGGATGTACTTTTTCACTAGCTACTACTCATACCCAACTTGAAACACTATCTTTCTAGTGTATGTTACAGCATCAGCAGATACACCATAGGGTGAACAATAAAGGGAATCCTGTGTAGAGCTTAAGCAATTTCCCATAGCGAGTCAGTCAAACCTTGCATATTTGAAGGATGCAGTTGTTTGTGAGCTTCCAAATGCTGATAAAAAAGGGAGTTTTCCTATCACATTTGTAAATATACATCATATTAGATCCCTTTAAAAATCTGTACATTATAACTTATTTCACCTGAATAGATTCACTGTTTTCCCTTCTTTCCACCACGGTGATGTGAACTACTTATTTTGTTACAAATTCTGTCAGTTGTTTATAGATAAAAAGAAAATATAGAATCTCACAAAATCTAATAAAATCTGACAAGTTGTTAAAAATATAATAGGTTTGTTTACTATAGCTTTCCTGTGCTAACGAAGGCTTTGCTTTAAGGGGTATTAACAGGACATGCATTTAAGCTGTTCCTGTAATCAATTGCTCAGTGGTCAGTGATGAAAACCTTAGCCAATTAGAACAGTAGCAAGTATTATTGGATTTTCAAGGGGAAAAATAAAAAAGAAAAGCCTTAGCAAATTCAAGCTTATTCAAGCTTCAAGGAAATTCTTGAGTTTTTCTTAAAATCCAAAGAAAAATCCCTAAGAATTAATTCACAATCCAGACTTCTGATATATTAAGGCATTATTTGACAAACACATTCATAATGTTAATTCTTTATTTTGGTTTCATTTTCAGGTTGATATTACAAAATATTCATTTGTATGAGTGATCTGCTTTTGATACATGACAGGGACAAATAAGTTCATAAATACATATTAATACAGTAGTGAATTAATTTATGAGACTCTAATGTCTTTTTTATGATGTGAAATATCAATTAAATCTATTTCTTAAAAAAATACTATTAAGAAACTGAAATGTATTATTGAGTGACTAAGCATTTGCAGAAATAAAATTATCAGTTGTGAAAATACTGATACAACAAGGTCATTAAATCATGTTGGGACATATATATTGTGAGCTTTTAATCCATAGTCAGTTTCTGGTTTTGTTTCTTTGGTATTGCTTCTTAATTCTACCGTTATCTAGCAGATCTGTAGTAAACCATTTTTTCTCTGCCTGCAACTTTCTAATTACTGCTGATCTGCTGATCCCTGCTGCCTTGTCATCAAAACTCATATTTCTGTTGAGACTGGTGAAGCAAGGGATTGCCTTCCTGCCATTGGCTATTTTTTTTTTTTTAATTGAACAGATCTAGATAACACAGGGAGAAAAAAATCCTTTCTTTATTTGCCAAGTAGCTTATTTTTGTTTCAACAAGGAAACCAGCAAATATTTTATAATCAGGAAATGTATTTTGTGTGGGGAGTATACACCAACCTAGAAAAAACATACCCTTTTGTACTGCACATAATGTTACATAGCAGCATATTTAAAAAAAAAAAAAAAAAATTAAACCCCACATCATTATTTCATTGCACAAAGTCTCACCAATAAAGATAGGTTACAAAGTACTAAGACCCAAATTCAATCACTGACTCAAGAAGTCACCAGTTCTGAGTATGAAGTTTGAAGGACACTTCCAGCACCAGCAGTTTCATATTAGTCTTTCCTTTCCTTTCTTTTCTTATAAGCGAGACAACAAATATTCCTTCGGGCAGTGTGGCACATTATTTACAATCATAGTCTGTGTTAGAGGGTTTGATTGCTAGTGTTTCATTTCATGAAGTAAAATGAATACGTTTTAATTGGGTACCCCCAGAATGTGCCTCAGAAGCTGCTTAAAAATTGTCAGATAAATATTTCTGTTATCAAATGAGGCTTTCTGCTCCCAACATTAGATAAAAACCCACTTTTCTTTGCTATGCCCTAAA